TCAAAAAAAATATTAATTTTTAAAAAACATATAATTTTATTGTAAAAACCTTATAATTTTCAATGTAATAAAATATATTTTTTTTTATTATTTTTATATATTATTAATTAACAATTCCTTATACATCATTTTTTATAAAAAAAAATGTTAAAAAAAAATTCCTTATAAAATATAAGGAAATGTGTTACAGAATTTCAAAAAACGTATATAAAACTTATTTATAATAATGAAAAAATGTATACAATTTTTTTATAGGGCATGCTTCATTAATATGACTGTTTGAAATACAAAGGTTTTGTATCGAACAGTTCTAAAATCTATTATTTTATTTGAGTAATAAATCCGCTTTATCTAAAAAGAGGTCTCAGTGAAGATATGTAACTTTATCATAAATAAAAAATTGCTTTGTGATTTTGTGTTATTTTTGATAAGCTGCGGATGTTTGAAATAGGAAATTCTTTTATATAATATGGTCAGTAAAGAGTAGTGATCAGTAAAGTAAAGGTAACAAAATTTGTTTAGTATGTGAAAAGAAGTGAGGTTGTGTGATAAATTAGTAGAAGTGAATATGTAATCTATGTGAGAGGTTGAGTTATAAGAGGAAGAGGAACAAAAGGTAGGAGGATAGGAAGATTAGAAGAGAGTGAGTATATAAATAAAACCAAGATTAATAATATTGTGTAGGAAGTTCTGCAGCTACTTTTGAAGTTTAGATCTGTATCTTCTACTTATATCAATATTGAAATCTCCTATCAATATAATGTGAAATTTATAACGTAAACTATCTGTTAATATATTTATTAGTTTCTTTTGAACTTGAAGACAATAATGATAATCTTGTTTTATTTAATATGATGCAGGTAAATATACTTGAATAACTCGAAGTTTGAATCTGTTTTTAAATTGAAAATCAAGATATATGATACGATTGAAGAAAAAGGCTTGATTATAAATATGTGTACTTAGATTATTACGAACTATAAATCTAACACCTTGACAGTTTTGGTTATGATTGGTTGAATAGAAAAAGTGCTTAAAAGGTTTGTTATGATTGTATTTATTGAAATAATATACTTATAGAAGGTTAAGATGAGTTTCACTTAGATCTAAAATATCTATATTAAAATTTGTGAAAAATGAATCAATGTTACTTAGTTTAGATTCTGACGAACAGCTTCTGACATTATGAGTTGCAAAGGATATGAGATTTGGGTTGTTAATAATGTTTGTAAAAGAGTCATTTGAAAGAAAATCATTATTTTCAGAATTTATTTGATGCAATCCTATATTATTGTTCGTAAGATGTACATTTATTTGGGAGAAATAGGTAGCATTTGAAGAATCTGTTAGATATTATTAGCAATGTCTTTAATTTCAGATTGGAATTTGGCAAATTGATTCTCTATATTGGTAACTTTATCTATATGGGATGTATATTTTTATTGTGAGGAATTTATAGAAGTTTTTTCTGGCGTTTCAGATGAGAATTCTTGAAGGTTATCAAATTCCATTTCACTGTCGTAGACTTCTTTAGTATGAACTATGTTGTTACATTTTTCTAGTTTAGTAATGCAATAGTCTATATCTTCTTGATTTTCTTAAAGAACAATGATTTTATTCTTTGCTGTAACTATTTCATTATTGAGAGCTATTAATTTGTTGTCAATTTCATCTAAGCATTTTAAGATGTTTGCTAATGCTACCGATATATTAAATTTTTGAGAATTATTTTGAGAGTTATTAGAATTATTTTTTAGAATCTCAGCATACAATCCCTTTTGATTTTGGTGTGTTTGTGTATTTACAGTATAGTTACTAGGATATTTGTTATTATTGCAAGGGGTCTATAGGTTGCAGGTTTGAAGCGATCATATAATTACCTATAAGGGCTAGAAGGTTTTTAAGGAGTAAAATCCTTAGCTTTGTGATCAGAATTACTACATCTTTGACAGTGAGGTGTAGGATTAACCCAAAATAATACATTAGACTTGAATTTATGTTGAAATTTAATTGCAGAGTCATAATCGTCTTGATTGTTAAAATTGATGTATGGGTAAGGTAATTACAATATTAAAAATCTCTTAAAATAAAACATGATTTTGCTTTAATAGAATTAAAAAAGATTAATAAATCCCGTTGTATCGTATTAAATAGTAAGCCAGTTAATTTTAATTCAAACTGTTGTCTTAAAATCAGTTGCATAGTATTGAGATCAATAGGTTCAATACAGCCCTATAAGAAATATATATACAGAAATATATATGGAAATAATACGTTTTTTATATTCATAAATAAAGTATAATATATACGTAATTATTACGTATATAAAATAAGAAAAAAAACAGAATTACAGATACATAAAAATACGTAATATACGTATATTATATATGTTATTTAGGATACGTAATATACGTATATTACATATGGGAGGGTTTCTAGAAAAATCAGGTTCTGAGAAATTTTTGACTTAAATTAAGAGCTTAATACATTTTAATCTAATAATATCAAAAACTAAAATGTAATAAAAATCTCAATTTTGTTAAAAAATTCCCAAAATCTGATTTTCCTAGCAATCAACTCATATGTTATTTAGAATACGTAATATACGTATATTACATACGTTATTTAAGATATATAATATACGTATATTATATACGTTATTTAGAATACGTAATATACATATATTACATACGTTATTAGTATATATAATATATTATATATATTTATTATATTTACAATTTATGTTTTTTATTTTTATTTATAATTTATAAAAATATTATTAATTAAATAATTTTATTTATACTGTATATTTATATAAAAAAGTAATTTTATTTATTATTATTTTATTTATTATTTTCAATAATTAACTTTTTTAATTTAAAATCAAATTATAAAGAATTTAATTTTTTAAATAAAAATAAAATAAATTATTTTAGTAAATTTATATTATAATAATATTAAATAGATAATTAAATATTTACCTTCTTCTCCTATTTTTAAATAAAATTTATCATGTCTTTTTTTCTTGAAATGATTATTAACTTGCGGTTTTTTTCCTTTATATTATAATTACATATTTAATTTATATTATTTTATTAGTAATTTTTTTAATTTATAATTCTTACCACTTGTTAATGATAATGCTTTTGATACTTTTGATGCTATTACTGTTTTTTTCATTTAATGCATTTTCTAATACTGTTATAGTTTTTTTTGCTATGTTAATTCTTCTTCAGCTTCTTTTGCTGTTAAATCATTTTCATTTCTGTCTGTAACAGCAACTGTAGTAGCAGACTTTTTTATTGCAGACCTTGCTATAATCATTTCTTCAGATTCTTCTAAATCTTTATTTTTTTTCGATTGATATAGTCCTGATGATGATTTAAATATTTTTTATAATTTCTTTAATAAGCCATCCCCCTTGTCCAATATTAATATTTGCATTTCGTTTCTTAAACTATATATAAACAAATTAGTATTCTTATTAATTCAAAATAAAATCATATATAAAATAGCAATTTTACT